CCCCTCCATCCACAACCACCCCCTCGCCCCCGCCGCCGTCCTCCCACTCTACGCCTACCTCGACCTCAGCACCCCGTGCGAATCCAAACTCCGCAACCGACCGTACAAATCTTCCCTCTCTCATCCCCGAGGCGACGCCAAGGACGCCCTCAAATCCCTCATCTCCACCTTCGACTGGGCCTACATCCCCTACGACCAAGACCTCCGTGATCCGCTTCTCTCACCTTACTTCACCCCGCGTGAGAAGCTGCCTCCCTACATCTGCGTCGTAGCAACGGAACTCGATCTCCTAGCCCACGAGTCCTGGCGATTCGCTTGCCGTCTTGCCAAGGAGGGCACGAATAACGCGGATATGTACTCTATCCCCAATCCGAAGAGTAAGGATCTGAAGGAGAGGATGTGTGGCTCGCAAGCGGCTAGGTCCCGACCGGGGAGGATAGAGGTGGTGGATAGGAAGGGGGAGGTGGATAGAAGGTTTGGGTTTGAGGAGAGCTGGGAGGGGGGTGGGGTTAAGTGGTTGTTGGTGCCGGATGTGTTGCATGCGTTTGATAATAAGCATGTTAGGGAGTTGATGGGCGGGGAAGATACGGTGGAGGATGCGGAGAGGAAGATGGGGGAGGTGATGAGGGTTTTGGGGGGGTGGTTGAAGGGGGTTTGGGGGGGTGCGCCCGGGGTGAGTGGAGGGAGGGGGGGAAGGTAGGAGAGTTTTGGTAGTTCATGCAGGTACGCCCGTTGTTGGTATAAGATACGTCTTCAATCCTGAGCTGGAGCCCGAGTGTCCGATTTGGAGGGCTGTGGAGGGCCGTGACTGGTCATAACGCCACACAGCTCAGCCCAACCCTCCCTGACGGCTAAAATTGCAGTCAACGGTGAGTTGATGAGAGATTCTGAGATGTAAGATTGGCCAAAGTTCAGGATCAACCTTCTTCACTGGAGGTCTCTCCCCACAGTGGATTTAAGACACTGAGATGTTCCTGCAGGGCTCTTTCGTGTGTCAAAGGGCCTCAAAAGAGCACTACCATTCCCATCCCGTCATCATGGATCTCCTGGGCCATTTTCCAGCGTCCAGCTCCCGACGGCTCTCGTGTAATCTGAGCGATGATGGAAGGGTCTTCTCAACCACTACTTCATAAAGGTGAAGGTGCGATAGAGTACAGAGATACTTTTGTTTTGCATACTAACTGGGTCAACCTCCTAGATCATGTTCTTTCCTGAAATATTCATGCCAGCTAGAGGCTCTTCAGGTATCCTGCTTCTCACGGGTTCCTTGATTCAGGGTAAGAATTTCTTCAAACCTCAAGAGTCTCAGCCTTTTCGCCAACATAGAATATCCCCTACCAGCTTATCTCTATCGAGTCCAGTCTAATTCAACACCCCCCCACCTCCTGAAATCAACTAGGGAGTGCTTTTCCCAGACCAGCGCTAGCGCTAAACTTGCGGGTTTAGCGCAGAACACTCCCTCTCCTGCAGAACATGTGCATCAACAGCAGCGAATCATGGTGTTGCGGCAATCAGGTTGATCGAGTTTAAATGGTCGTCATTAGTCAATGTCGTCCCTGTGCGCCCAATGCATAACACTGCACTTTTAGCCCCGGAAGAAGTCTCAAAGCAAGGCCCAAGCTTATCCTAGGTGTGTGAAGTCCGACCCTCGTCAAATCCATGTTAAGGGGCCACCGCGGGACTCCATGAGGCATTGCCGGGTCGTTCGATCTGCTGCGGCGGCTAAGAGGCTCAGGATGAGCTTCTCGAGATATCGACCAACTTGGCTCTCTCTGTTCATTCTGACATCTAAATTCTTGGGTACCTTACCTTATGCTATCTCTAAATCAACGCATGCAGCCCTCCTCGTCCTGTCGACTGGGCACACACACTCTGCATTTTAGTTGAAGGACCCAATTACATCCAACTCACTGCACTTTTAGCGCCAGCGGAGGGTACACTGTCGTGCATCCTGCGCGTTCGGGATCGGGCTTACTAAAACTCAGCCACACAACTCTCATCCCAGAAGAAACTGAGCCACGACTCCTGCCTGGAACGGCCTCAGCCTGGTTCCTGACAACCAGGTTCAAATCGGATAGCATTCTGGGTTTTCGTGATTGGCTACCACCCATGTCCCGGGAGGTGTCAGAGGACCATGGCTGGGCTCGTTGATGCGTTGGCGTGCAGTGTCGAAACTTGCATAACTCGCTGCAATTTTAGCCCCAGCGGAGGGCTCAACTCCACTGACATCCGACCCCAACCCTGAGGAAAAACTCGTTAATGGAGCACCGCCGCACGCAACCCACATCTTGAATCCACAACGGAACCACAGCAAAAAGAGATATGATGACGCAAGGGTCAAAAATGAATCCCCTCGACCGGAATCGAGCCGGTGACCTTTCGGTATATGAATGAGACATTTACAGCCGAACGTGATAGCCAACTACACCACAAGGGGTTTGGGTTCATGGGAGGCGGTCGAGATGATGGTGCTTTTGGAGTTTCGATAGTGCAAGCTGGAGGGTGATGAGAAAGGTGATCCATTCGGAGAAGCGGTGAAAAGTAGTTGGATTGATTCAGGCATCTCCCAATGGTTTGGCAACACCGCGACCTGGGGTCCGTATCGGAAGGATTCAACAAGGTATTGCCAGTCCAAATCTTAGGGATGAAGATATAGACATCCTAAATATGAAGGTAGATGTAAACGTGAGAAGCCTAGCGATGCGGTTTGAAGGATAGCGCTCACGTGGGAGAATTTGTGGCTGTGATGATGTCTCTCAGCGATACAGCTCAAAATCAAACCCATACAGCGCTTGAAACTCTTTCGAAGACAACTTGAAGCACGTTTGGGTACCAACCAACTCCCAATGGTATAAAAATCACCTCCCCTGTCATTAAACAAAACACCTCAAAGCACCAAAAACAACAAAAAATCAACCCCAGCGCCATTACAACCAACTCAACGCATCCTCCTATTACATCCCATCGCATCCCCATCAAAGCACCTCCCCTTCCAACTCCTTCTCCGTCCACTCCCACAACTTCACCGCCAACTCCTCACTCCTCCCCTCCTTCGCCGGCGTCCCCAACCTCCCCACCGGCGTGTAATACGCTCCATTCTTCACACCCGCCACACAAGCCCACAGTTGATTCCTCGCGCCCTCCTCCACATTTACCGCAAAGATCGCAAAATACAGCGCCACAAACGGCCTCGCAATCGCAAAGCTCGAACTGAACGGCATCGTCAAATTCGTCGCCACCGCCCCGGGATGCACCGCCACCGTTGTAATCTGCGGGTACCGCCTTGCCATCTCGGCTGCGAAAAGGATATTGGCTGTTTTGCTCTGCCCGTAGCGTGTGGCGGTGTACATGTTGTCCTGGGTGGTTTTGAGACTGTCGAAGACGATGCCGCCGCGGGGAAGCATGCGGTGGGCTTCGGAGCTGAGGACCACGAGGCGGACATCAGCGGAGGGGAGGGCGGCGGTATTGAGGAGCAGGGGGAGGAGGAGCTTGGTGAGGAGGGCGTGGCCCATGTGGTTGGTGCCGAACTGGAGTTCGTAGCCGGAGGCGGTGAGGCCGGTGGGGGTGGCCATGATGCCGGCGTTGAGGAGGAGGATGTCAAGGCGGGTGGAGTGGTCGAGGACCTTGCGGGCGGCGGACTTGATGGAGGGGAAGGAAGAGAGGTCCAAGTCGAGGGGGAGGATTTTGGTGGGAGTAGTGGAGGGGAGAGATTTCAGGATGTCGTCAATGGCAGATTGGGCGCGGGTTTCACCGCGGGCGGCGAGCCAGATGAGGTCGGGCTCGTGTTTGGCGAGCTCGAGGACGGATTGCTTGCCGAGGCCCGAGTTGCCGCCAGTGACGAGGATGGTTTTGCCTTTGAGGGAGGGGATGTCGGTGGAGGGATTGAACCGGAGTCCAACCGGGATATAGCTGAGAAGTGAGAGGCCCATTTTTGAGTGAGTGATTTGGTGCGGTTGGTGACGTGAGTTGTGTGCTGGATGGGGAGGACTGAGAGTGCGGTGCGCAGGTCGCGATGGCTTGCCAAGTGAGGTGTTCAAGGCGGTATTTCTAGATGGTGAACGCAAAGGGTTGACGCTTATCGTGGCGAATGTCTCCGAAGCGCGGTCTGCCGACGGTATCGCGATGCCGAGCCGAGGGGATTGCGGTCAAAGACGCTTGACGCCATGACGATAAATGCAGGCACAAAGTGGCTAGCCGATTCAGGCTCCACAAATTACCCTAACCCTCGATTGGAAACTCTCCGAATTGCCCCGCCGCCCGATTTGGATTTCGCTGGTTGGTGCAAGACGTCGTACTTCGTTTTTTTCGCATTCCGTATTTGGTTGCGATCTTGCCTCCATCGGCGTTCTTCCACAACCCCCGTCCACGAGAGATTGCATTCGAGCAAATCCTGGAAGGCCTGGGGTTCCGTGCTGAGCTACTAGCTCCGGAGTACAGCTGGCTCGGCACCATCTTTGGTGTTGTCTTCACCTGATTTGGCACATTGAGTTCTCGATTCTGCGTTGCTGACAGGTCGCATACCCCTTTTTGGGACGAATGTCAACAAACAGAAAGGATCATGGTTAGTGATCATATGTTCACTAATACCGTTACTTATTCTAATGCCGGAAACCCATCAGATATTTGAATCCATGCCACTAGGACCCGGCCTCAGAATTTCAAATTATCTACCCGCTTGACAAATTCAGATATGAAATCTAGCGCTTGGCACATCAACATCGCATTCTCAACAGATCAGCGCTCCCAATTTGCCAACAAGGGGCACGAACCGAGCCCTCCCATCCCGCGCCGCTTCAACCCGGTGATGCGCCGACAGACTGCATATGCCAACGCCAGACTCTCGAGTGTCCAAAAAGAATCTCATCCAGACCCCCCCCCCAACCCCTGCGGCCTTGTAGCATCTTGCTACCACCCAATTACGCCCGAAAAGAATACCCACAACCGCAATTCATCCATCTTGGCACCAGACTCCACCCAGAGCAAGGACCAGCAAAAAGATGAGGTCGTACCCGGAATCGAACCGGGGTTACCGGAAAGTGCAGAAACACTGAATCAGAATCCGATGTGATAACCGCTACACTATACAACCGTGTGTTGTTTGCTGATGTCACGAGTCGTTGGACTCACCTAGGACGTTTGGGATGAGAACCCAAGAGCAACACGTCAACGCTTCGAGACCGCTACATGCCCCTATAAAAGTCTACTATTATAGCATGCACTGCTCTAATCTATATGGTATCTTCTATGCATATTTATCTTCATCACCTTCATCATAATCAAAACACCAATTTCAGCTCTTCCCTTCCTGCTGCTTGTCTCTCCCCTCACACATTCAATCCCAAACACTCCCCCGACTCCACTTCCCCCTCCTCCTAATCCTCTTCCCAAACACATAAAACACAAACGGCACCGGTATCAACAACACCGCAAACCCCGCCGGTATCGACGACCCCGGTCCGACCCCCAAATTCCCATACATCGGCCCAACGACCAACGGAAACGCGCAAGCGAAGCAGGACCGCAAAAACGTATTCGCCGCCACCGCCGACGCCGCATACTTCTGGAAGGTATCCACCAGGTAATTCAGCGCAGCCTGGAAGATTGTGAAGAAGCCTGTCCCAAGGAGGACGAGCCCGATGCACGGCACGATCCAGTGAATCGATGGAGAAGAGGTCCACCCAGTTAGGAATTGGCCTCCGGCGAAGAGGACTGAGCCGACCATCATGGGCGGGAGACGACTTTCGGGGACGGGACGGTTGCCAGCGGCGTGATAGACTTTGTTGTAGAGGAGTTGGTTGTAGATGTTTAGGATGCAGCCGATAGTTGCACCTATGAGGAGGCAGACGAAGGGGAGGGTAGAGGGGAGGGCGGACCAGCCGCGGATGGTGTGGAAGATAAAGGGGATAGCACCGAGCTGCATGTAGAGGATTCCGTAGCAAAAGGAGGCGTAGAGGGCGATGAGGAAGCAAATGGGGGTGCCGAGGAGTTGGATAGGGCGCAGGAGGAATTTGTTGGCGAGCTCGGAGAGGGAGACGTCCCATTCTTCATGTTTTGCGTGGAGAGCCCAGTTGCCGGTAGTCATGCGGAGGCGGCGGGCTTTGTAGACCAGGAGCTGCGGCGGGTAGGTTTCGTCAATGAAGAGGAGAGCAAGGAGGAGGAAGAAGGATTCGAGGATGCCGGTCATGTATAGAGTCCAGCGCCAGCCAAGATGGGGGTTGATGACGATGGCGGTGGATGCGATGGGGCCAAGGACGGGGCCGCCAACAACTGCCATGGCGTAGCCGGCGATGGCGATGCCGCGTTGCGCGGGAGAGAAGAGATCGCCGAGAACGCCGCCAGTGTTGGTGACAGGGGCGGAGGAGAAGAATGCGCTGAAGAAACGGGTGATCATGAGAGTTTGGAAGTCCTTGGCGGTGGCGCTGGCGAAAGTGAAGCAGATGGCGACGAACATAGGGGCAAAGACGGCGAGGCGGCGGCCGTACACTTCGCTGAGGGGGGCCCAGAGGAGAGGTCCGATACCGAAGCCGATGAGGAAGAGCGAGGTGCCGAGGATGGAGACGGTTTCCGAGACACGGAATTCAACAGCGATTTGCGCCGTTCCCGGGGCGTACGCAGCGGAGGCCCATGTTGCGCCCATGGTGACGAAGCCATACAGGCCAGTGGTGACAACCTTTTTGTGCATGGGCCAATTCATGGGACGGTAGGGATCATCGGGCCCGTCGAAGTCGACGAGGTCTTCTTTGGTGGTGCGAACATGGGATAGGGGGTGGGTGAAGCGGTCGACGTTAGAGGGGCGGGAGCGGATGCGGGAGAGCACGGTGTCACGCCGAGATAGAGTTGGCTCGAGCTGTAGTCTTCCAGAAGTGGTGGCGGCGCCGGAGCCGAGCTTGGCGCTGGCCCGGCTTCGGGTGCAAGAGAGGCGCACTTCATGGCTGCTGGGTCGGAAGCCATCGTGGTCTTCGACTTCGCTGTCGGTGTCGTCCTCGGTGTCTTTCTCGTTCGAGGTGTTGATGTCGCTGGTATCTTGGGGCTTGGGCTCGTGCTCAGGGGCTCCGGCTGTTTTTCTGTCTGCAGGGTTGAACATAATCGCGGCGCTGTAAGTCGCAACCGGGCCGTTCATTGGCGGTGGGTGGTTGTGAGTAACCTATGACGGCATTCCGGGTGAGACATGGCGTCCCCCGGTTTCTTTTAAGTCGGGCCCGGAGGAGATGGTTGCCTCCACCGGGCGGTGCGCCAGTGGCGGGACCATGCTTGGGAATGGAGCCAAGCCCGTCGTCATCGGCGTGGCCGGGAGGAAGAGATCACCGAGCGAGATGGGGCACCAATCACAGCAGGGTAAAGAAAAGACTAAAACAGTCGCAAGTGTCTTTTGGGGCCGCTCTCGGGGGGTAGGCTCGCAAAAGCCGATTACGCTGATGCTGGCTCCTTTACGATCTCGCGTTTTTAGTGTTTGGAAAGCGCGAGGGCAGCCGCTCCGGGATCGGGGCAGAGGGGCCGGGTCGTTTCGGCACCGGTTCGGCAGCGCATTCTGACAAAGCACAACAGTGGAATTCAGTGGTAAAGCAACGCTGGCGTTTGATTCAACGCCCAAAAGGCCTAACTGCAAACTAACAACAATAGGTGAAATCGAAAATGCATCGCAACGACACTCGTAACCTCCGTTGGGTCTTCCCTGCTCCACCCCCAACTCAACCACACTGAGTGATCTTTCATGGGTACCCATCAAGGGCCAATCATTTCATCCCGCCCTCATCAACATTTCCCATTCTCGTAATGCGCTAGATCTTGTCGACGCTCAGACCAGCAGGAACGCCATCCTCAAACACGACGCCGTGTCGCTTGGCGCGCAAGCAGTGAAAGCCCTTCGCATCAGGACTAGGCTCGCCATCCGGCTTCGGTTCGCCGTCCGGGCCCACCTTCCATGTCGGGCTTGGGAACCGCCGGCTTGGGGCCATCCAGCTTAGGCTCGGGCTCGGGGGTCGCTTCTCTGTCGGGCTCATTGTCCATCTTCGTGAAGAGGCCAACTTTGTGGTTGGTAGGCTTGAGGAACTTGGGCCGGCAGACGCGGTCATGGTAGTGGCCAAAGGTGGCAACTGGGGTGATGATGAGGACCTCCATGGTCGAGGTGGTTGTGAGAGTCTTTGGAGTGTTGCTGGGGTGTTGAGTGAGGCAGCGGCAGAGAAAGGCTTGATTGAATCTTGGGGTTTGAGGGTCCTGTGAGGGGTGTGGAGGTTGCTGATGATGGCGAGCAGAGTAGAGACGTTCGAGGCGCGAAGGCACCTGAGTATATACCCAAATTCTCCCTCGTAGACCCTCCTCGGCTGTGCCATTTGGACTCGTGTTCACGGATGCCTCGAAGGCTCTTTACCTCTTTGATGCGATGCTGATGTTGAAAATGCATCCCGATTCCGCGCAAACCCTCTGCGGAAGGCTTCCGAGTCGTTGGGGAAGTGACATAGTAAGCCATGTGAATACCAGACGGCGTGATTCTTGTCCTAGATGCTCGTTGTTGCTCGTCTCTTGTCTTCTCAGGCGTGACACGTTACCAGCAACAGGACGAACGAGCGCAGGAGTCTCGAACCCGATCCCTCCGACAAATTTGCATCCTATCATCAGAATGGCTGAAAAGTTGGTTCCAGCGCCTGCTTTTCAAAGCGTTGCGCTGAGTGCATTCATGGCGTCGAGACACGCCTTAGTGGCTCACATCAACATTCTGTTTGCTAGGCGTAAATGCGGCGGGACATCAAGATCGAAAACAAAAAAAGCGTGGGGTGCGTGGGGTGAGTGATCGTTGATGAGGAAAGACAAAATAAGCACGTCTTGTGGCCTTGGTCGAGGAAACCAGGAAGCGGTTCCGAATCACAAAACGCGTATCTGTTAAACCAAGAAAAAAAGGCCCTAATAAAAGCTTGGGAGATTTCGAGTTCACCCCACTGAACCTCTCAAAATCCCGGAGGGAAGTAAGCGCGGAGGCAGCGCCAGGCTCGCTCTTGGGAGTCGGGCCACTGTCTGGCTTGGGCTCGGTATTGGGATCGGGGTTAGACGCGTTGCGGGAGGTGGGGGTGTTGGGAGGGACAGGCGGCTCCGGCTCTGGGGGATTCTTGTGGTCGTCCACCCCAAGGTGATTGGGCTTGGCAAAGATCGTGGAAGGTATCGGCGGCGAACGAAGAGCTCATGGCGGCGGGTATCGTAGTGATGATTCTATGTTAGAGATTTTGAGCATTGGAAGTGGTACGGAGGCGATTCTAGGGTGAAGAGTCGAAGATGGAGGCTGCAAGATATGTGCAGTTTTCGAAGATGTAGGGTACTTGGTAGCGATGAGGGAGAGGTAGCCTTCCTCTGAGGACGGGGATGCTAGAATATATAGGTACTTGGACAAACCGCCGAAGAGCACACTTGCCCTCAGCTGGCAGTCTCATCGCAGAGCTAGTGTCCCGAGTTCGCTCTTGTGTGCGATGTCCTCGAAGGCTAGGGCTGCCATTCTGGCTCCGGCTGAGTCCCAACCATTACGATACCTTGATATTTGGTGGAATATTGGACAAAAATCTGACTCAAAGGGGGGCTCCCAGAGACTTTTAGTCAGGGAGCTGTGTGCTTCACACGGTCGGTAAGGTAGTCTGGTTTTGTAATCTCAAATTTGTGCGCAGTCGTCTCTGTAGGCCCCGAAGACCAGTTAAACACGACCAATATTCGTTCCAAACTGCTATACTGTCTTTCGATGTGCTGGAGGCGCGGTGGTAAAAACTCCCTGTCAAAACAGCAAATTCTTAAATTCGACTCATCTTCCAGCCCTTTCAGTCATTGGCCCTGAGCCCCTCAAACTCTCCATAAACAATCTGTGTTGTCGAGCCATCAACGAGGCAACCCACGCAACCCCCCTTTCCCGCACAAAAATCATCCAGTCTCTCCCCTTTGCGGTCTTGGCGCGCCCAACAAACGCCGGGGGCCGGAACCCGAATCGAAGGTGGTGTGAAGTCAACGACGTTTGATCGTCAGGGGTGGCGCCCACCCAGAAAACCCCAAATGCGGTTCCACCGCTTCTTCGAAAACTCTCGAAAACTCTCGATTGGTTCGCACCTTCCACTGCAG